CAGAAATGGACGCCATCCCATTTCAAACTCCCAACCTGGAGGACCATAAGGCTGAGTTTGTCTGACCTCTCACCATTAACCAATCTGGTAGAAGTAGCTCTCAAAGGGTCCGGAGGCACCAACCAGTACAGCTCAGTGGGTCAAGGAGGTACGCAAACCGTCGCACCACGTTAAGGTCCAGTCTCGTTGCGACGGCTGGTGGGGATCTACTTGAAATCATTCAGGAATTCAAGTACCTGAGCAGCTCTATTAGTGCCCGTGGGATCGAAAATGAGGTTACCAACTCTGTAGCAAAAGCTCGAGGTGCTTTTGCCAGTCTCCACCACCTGTGAAGCAGACGCGACATCACTCGCCCTAAAGGTCTGCGTTTATAATGCAGCCGTCCGTTCAACCCTCTTATACGGTGATGAAACCTTACCCATCAGGTCGACAGACATAAATAAATAGGCTAGTCACCTTCGATCTTCACTACTTTCGCAGCTTAGCTCATGTCTGATGGGAGCACCGCGTGAGCTGGTAATGTGTTCGGCGTCGCGTACATGGTGTAGGAAGAGCGAGTGAACCGCTCAGCATCATTTAATCACCCGTAAGCTCCCGTGGCTGGGCCACTTGTTGCGCTTGCCAGCACACCGACTGCCGTGACTTGCATTGTTTGTGCGCCGGGGGTGCGTTTGAAAGGGGAGGAGAGGAAGCCAAGCGGTGACTTGATCGAGAGAAATGAAAACCCTCACTTCTGAGTTCACGTCGATCGGTGCATCCCGACTGCCTGGCTGGGGTCCTAAGGACGATGAACACGTTTGGTTGGACACGCTGATATGGCAAAACCATGGACTGTATTACAACTTGCTCATCAGCTGCTGTTTCTGCTAGTCACTTTCACGCTACTTCATCACACGCCAATTGTTTGTTTGCTAACAATCCTCACTTTCCGTTACCCGATTCATGTGTTCAACACCCTGGCTGCGATTTCGGTTGCGCCGCAGACCAAGGCGTTCAACCTATGGCTCTCCTTCGTCCCCGATCCTCGTTCCGTCTGGTGTGCTTCAACATTCGGACACTCATGCAGATTGGACAGCAAGCCGGTCTAGCGCGCACCCTAGATTCCCTAGACATTGATGTATGCTGCATTTCAGAAACCCGATTGCAAGATCCCAGCACTGTGCTTACATTGACATCCCCCACTGACCACGGAGCCAGATATCACCTGCGTCTTTCTGGAGATCCAGAAGCAGCCTCAGCGGGTCTGGCTGGTGTAGGTATAGCACTAAGTGACAAGGCCGAGGCGGCACTACTGGACTGGTTCCCTATTAACAGCCGACTATGTGCAGTTCAGCTTCTGGGTTCGTGTAGAATCAACAAGCGCTGGGAAAAGAGACACAACTTGTTTGTGGTCTCTGCATACGTTCCAACTGGCTGCAGTGGTGGTTCGGTCAAGGACGACTTCTACCGGGATCCACATCATATCTTGACTAATGCTAAAAAGTCGGATGTCGTCCTTGCTGGTGATTTTAATGCACGGGTTGGCTGCCTGTTACCATACGAACGCCACCTTGGTGGTCATCACTCGATCGATGAGAACCGTTCTGATAACGAAGAGGGACTTCTCACATTGTGCGAAGACAACCGTCTGTTTCTTTCGAGCACTAACTTCAGGCGTACGAAGAAGCGTTCCGCAACGTGGCGTCCCCCTTCTTCAACACAACCGTGGTCTCAAATTGATCACATTGCAATTAGCTTCAGGTGGCGTGGCAGCGTACTGGACTGCAGGTCCTTTTGGTCCACCTTCGTTGACTCAGATCATGCTCTGGTCTGCACGAAAATCTGTATGTGTTTTGGAGGATCCCGAAACACGAGGCACTGCGAGATTGATGTAAACAGATTAACTGATTCCTCTGTTCAGGCGAGCTATCAATCTTCATTGGCATATGCACTCGGTTGCAATCCACCGCAAGAAGTGGAGCAACACTGGACGTGTATACGGAAGGCGATGACCATTTCCGGACAGTCATGCTGCGGCCTAACTCGACGCCCTTTGAAGTCTTGGATCTCTGCTCGTTCTCTGGAGCTGTTCGAACGCCGCAAAGACATCCCGGCGGAAGCAGATTGCAACGAGCGGCGCCGTTCTGTCACCTGACTGCTCAAGCAAAGCCTACTCAAGGATCGCGAGACATGGTGGTCTGAGCATGCTTTAGAGATGGAGACCGCTGCCCTCTCTGGCAACCCTCGCAGGCTCTTCCAAGTTATTCGGTCCACTGACCTCAGGATGCCCGGTGTCTGAGGTCATTTGTGAGGCGGATTAGTCTCCAATCACCAACCAACAGAGGCGTATGGACCGCTGGGCCGAGCACTTTCACTCGCAGTTCAACTGGCCTCCACCGTCCATCAGTACCTGCAGTACACCTTGTTGTCCACCCTGGCTCGTCCCTCTGAATCCACCCAGCGAAGCGGAAGTCTGCCTCGAGATTCGACGCTTGAGGCGCTTCAAGGCTGCCGGCTTAGACGGACTTCCTCCGGAACTATTCAAGTACGTCGGTGTGGCGATCATTAACCAGCTGATCGCGCTCTTTGCAAAAATTTGGCATGAAGAGAAAGTGCCTTCCTCTTGGGGCGAATCAGTTATTGTCCCGATTTTCAAGAAAGGCGTTTGCACTTCATGTGCAAATCATCGCGGGATTAGTCTTATTTCAGTTACCTCTAAGCTATTGGCATCCATTCTGCTTCGCAGGCTATCCCCAGTACGTGAATCATACTACCGTGAAGAATAAGTTGGTTTCCGTCCTGGCCGCGGATGCGTGAATCAAATCTTCACGCTTCACCAGCTCCTCGAACATCGCCACATTTATCACAGACCCACTATCGTTGCATTCCTAGACATACGTGCCGCTTTTGACTCCGTTGATCGACCTGCTTTATGGCGTTGCTTACTAAAAAGGGGGTGCCAGAGAAATATACTACCATCTTACGAGCACTTTACCTTCATACATCCGGCAGAGTGAGGGTCTATGGCAAGCTTTCCTCGCAATTTACTGTCAATAGCGGTGTTCGACAGGGTTGCCCTATGTCCCCATTCCTCTTCAACTTCGCAATCGAAGACGTTCTGTCTAATGCTCTAGAAGGTTTCCAACATTTTGGCCTAGAGCTTCTACCGGGCGAGCGCGCGACCGACTTAGATTATGCTGATGATATCGCCTTACTTGGTGGCGATCCTCAGAGTATGCAACTCATTCTGGATCGTTTGGCGGTTGAAGCATCTAAGTATGGCATGAGCTTCGCCCCATCGAAGTGTAAAATACTGCTCAAAGATTGGCATTCGCCTGCTCCCGTACTCACTCTCGAAGGTGCACAACTTGTACAGGTAGATAGTTTCGTCTACATTGGGAGCTGTGTTTCTGCTGACGGCACTATCAGCAAAGAAGTTTTTCTTCGTATCGCTAAATCTCGATCAGCATTTGTCAATCTGAGGCACTTGTGGCGTCGTCGCGACGTCTCATTCTCACTAAAGAGCCGCGTTTACAGCGCATCAGTTCGCTCAGTATTGTTGTATGGGTGCGAGTCTTGGCCGATTCGCGTAGAAGACATACGTCGTCTTCCTGCCTTCGATAACGGTTGCTTAAGGAGGATCGCTTGTGTTTGGTGGCAACATCGAGTTAATAGTAATGACGTTCAACGTCGCATCTTGGGGAATGCAAGTATTTCCTTCAACAAACTGGTTTTGTTGCGCCAGTTGAGATGGCTCAGTCACGTCCTACGCATGGCACCTGAGCGTCTACCGCGTCGCGCTTTATTCACTCGTCAAGGATCTGGATGGAGGCGACCGCGTGGTGGTCAGCCTTCCACTTGGAGGCAGAACATGAAATCGCTGAGGTCGTGTCTAGGCGCTGTTGGATCCGTACGTCTTCCAGGATGGGGACCCAAAGTTGAGGAGTGCCAATGGCTTAGGACTCTTGAAGACATGGCCCGCAACCGGAATCAATGGAAGAATTATGTACAGTACTGTATTGACTCACATGTTTAGTACTACAAACATTATAATGACAAAAAAGAGCAAAAGCGGCGTGTGAAAAACGAACTAAAAATGTTTTGTCCTACTTTTTGTCAAAATGTTCCATTCTTCCTGCGGCATATTAGTTGAAGTGTGTTGCTCGCCTTCAGCTAGCATGCCACGATGATTATGACGCGATGAATCTTGCTTATCTGCTGATCTCCACGGTTTTATGCTGGCTCTGTGTCTAGTTAATAGACTGTTGAGATTACATACATACATACATATGGCAAAGAGCTGGTCCCAATGGCGTTTGTGTTGTGAGTTTCTTTGTCTCTCTTTTCCGTTTAGATTCCCCTTCCACTTTCGATATCATACGAAACGCATAATATTATATCTAACATTGTATTACTTGCTTTGGAATTTTTAGTGTAATTTTTACTATCTTACCTTTTTTGCACCACATTAGCTGAGGTGCGTTTCCCTCAGCTAACGTGTATTGATGATGATGATGCAGTCAACATGGAACTTTCCTCTTCTTCTGACCATCTCCCATCTTCGTACTTCGATTTTCTTTTCTGCAATTTTTCACACATTTGTGTTATCTTTTATTCAAATAATTTTCATTCTTTCCATATATTTCTCTTCCTATATCTTGCTTACTTCACCTAACTGGCACGACAGAGACCGCTGATGTAGGTTACGTGGGCCCTAATTGGTCAACTAGTGTGTGATACGAATGTTTCGTTACTGATTTGTCAAGCTATCCGATCAACGTATCAACTACTGGCTCGGGAAAGAGCATTCCCTTTATTCTTTTGTCATTCCATTCACACCAGCCATCCGTGTTCGTTTTCGTCATCCGTTCACCTCAGGGTAATTCCTCCCTAGACAATTTTGACAGCTTCGCTCAACTCGCTACGATGTGTTACTCAGGCGCAGTGTCCGTTCAGTTCCGCCTCTTACTTGTTAGTTGCAACACATCCGACCACCTACAAAGCATCTGATTTTTATTTCAGGCCCAAGGTCTATTACGACTTAATTACTCATTGGACACGGAAGCCCTCAGGGTCCTCGACCGGACGTGTATCACACCACGAACCTCTTGTGATGTCCCCTTTCCCTTTCATCAATAGGACTACTGGCCTCTTGTTTACTTCGCGCGTTTCTTGTAAACAAAGGTGGCAACCGGTTTATTTGCCGAAGTATTTTTCGACTGCTGTTAAAACCAAAGAAAATGCGAAACTTGGTTATCGTTATGAAAATCTCATTATCGGCGTACCAAAAGAGTGCGCCCCAAATGAAAAACGCGTCTCGATCGCTCCACAGGTCATTTGCTTTTTTGCATTCTATGTTAGCCTCAGCTACGCGTGCCTGTTTACTTCTACATACATGTTAGCACAGATAGATAATTTCACTTTCCATTCTGGATATACCTTGTAGTTACCTCAGCAGTGCTTAACTCCTTTAAGTGCGCTGTATCCGGATATTGCCAGTTGTTGCTAACCATTTTTTACTTACGCCTTATTACTCTATTGAAATTTCGTGTGCCATTGAACAATCTGTTGCTTGTAGCACTTCGTTCTTTACTTTCTTGACCTTTGTTTATGCAATTAGAGATGCGAGATCAGTCATTTACTCTTGTCATATTGCCCGCGATACGATATCCTTGCAGACGGTGTTCGCTGTAGCCGCCCACATTTCGAAACTGTTGTTCAGACCTTAACATGGTGCGACGGTTCGCGTACCTCGCGGACCCATTGAGCTATGCTGAGTGAGACCCTCAGGCCTCTTGATAGCTACTCCTACCACATTAGTCAATGGTTAGAAATCAGACGAACTCAGTATCCTTGTCCTCCAGGTTGGGGTTTGAAATGGGATGAGGTTCATTACTGTAAAACCGAATCCTTGCCACATCCGCTGCCTTGCGGACAACATTTTGAGCCAACGACTGGTTGAGCACCCTAATGGATCTCCTGTCTAGGTCTGGGCGCCATGGAACTATCGCAGCCCACGTACAACTTTGACTATTTCTTCAATCTTCAACCACATCTTACATCGGCCATCGCGCAGATTATCAAGGGTCGTCTTATCTGCTGTATACAACAGGGCGGGTCAGCCGAAACATGCTACTACTGACGCCCCCTTCTTTCCACCGGTTTCTCTTACTCCCCAACCACTATTACTCACCTTCCTTCTATAATTCCCAGCTTAATTGACATCACCCCTAATGTCATCCGCAGTTACCTTTCCACACCACCCCCCTAAACGCCTATCCGCAACGGTCCTTTATAAGGCCACACTGTCCCGTTTTCCTAACTGTATTCAACATTCGCACTCTAAGACAAATAGGTCAACCGGCTGCACTCGCGCGCACCTTGGACGCACTGGGTTTTGACGCCTTGTGTGTCCGAAACTAAGACCAATGCATCTGATAGGTTTGTTGAAGTCACTGCGCTCGGCTTGTCCTCTCGCTATTGATTGTACGCATCTGGAGATTGATGCGGAGACCATGGGCTATGCTCGAGTCAGCATCTTTCTAAGCTCCAAGACCGAGTCATCGTTGGGTGTTTGGATTCTCGTGAACGGTTTTTTGTGTGCAGTCCGTATAACATCATTTAAGGTTGCTACTCAAAGTAGTACTAGACACTTGCTAGTTTCCGTTTATGACTGCAGTTCCGTTGCTGCTAAGGACACATTCTACCATGAACCGAACATTCTACTGCGCAGTGTTATAAGTCCAGATACCATGGTTATTGCAGGGGATATACATGCGCAAGCAGGTCGTCTGAGCTTCTCTAGAAGCTCAGCTAAGTGGTAAGTATGGACTTAACTCCATCTGGATGGACGGCGGCTAGCGTCTGCTTTATCTGTGTTCGGAGCACTTTATTAGTAGCACCGCTTTTAGACAGTGGGCGCCGAAGTGCCACTTGGAACTGACCGGCCATGTACCCAAATTGATCATGTTGCCACAAGTTGCAGGTAGCGTGCTTCCATCCTGGATTATCGCTCTTTCTGGATTATTTGCGTCGACTCTGATCATGCCTTGGCACGCCGTCGTTTTTCCATGAGCTTTACCGCGAGACGTACCAAGCGTCTCCTCGGTTTGGTAACTGAAAAGTTAATCCATCCCCACCACACCAGCATCACTACGGCACCACTGACGAGCCTCAATAGGGCTAAACGCGCGTCTGGTGCTTTTTCGGATTGGTAGCTTACCTATGCGGCTTGGAATCTAATTGCGATGAACCAAATCGAATCCATCCCTTTGTCAAACATGCCTATCAGAATCCTCTGCGTACCGAACTTTCGCTTTCTCATATCTTAATGACACTAAGCTTCAATGGAATAAAATTTTGGTAGCTATGCACAACGCGGGGTCTTCTGCTTGCAGCATTACCATTCATTATCGCACCAGTTCTTGAATGTTTGAGAGGTCGGTGGGCATATTGGAATATATAAGAAAACTTTCGTGTGGCTCTAATCACAGTATAACTAGGCGCACTATTAGGCGCGAACTAAAGCGGAGTCTGCATGCTGACAAAGGAGCGTGTTGCAATCGTAGGCCTAAGTATATGGAGGAGACTGGAGCACTAGGCAAAAATCGGAAGTTGTTCGAACTGATCCGCACTACTGCTCCCAGTGAAACAGAGACAGCGCGGATGCCACTGTTCACAATAACGAGTGCTGTATGGCTCGTTGAACTGCGTGCTTTCGAGATCAGCTATGTTTGCCCCCTGCTCCTGGACCAATTCCTAATCAGGTGGTGCATGCTGAGCCATGTAGGCTCCGTCGGAAGCTGAGGTCCGACATCCGATTGCAGCGCTTAAACGCATTCGTTTTGCTAGCCCGGGAAGGAAGCCACCATCTCAGCTAATTGGAGCGAATCGATTATAGTGGCAACCTACAAGTAGGGCAGTCGCTCCGACTGTGCTAATCACAGGAGTATTAGCCGAACACCAGTGGTGACAAAATTACTTGCTTCAGTCCTCGTTCGCTGCGTCAATGCAGAACGAGAATCCCGGATTAGAGAAGAACAGGCAGGTTTCCACCTAGGAAGGGACTGTATGGACAACACATTCACTCTGTGACAATTGCTAGAGCAGCGCCATCCTTACCACGCCGAAAAAATCTGGTCTTCTAAACTTCAAGAATGTATCCGATTCAGTCGATCCAAGCATTCTGTTCGAGATAATCGTGCAGAAAAATGTTCCACTGAAATATGTGAACATTTTACCTGTCCTGTACTCTAACACCACAGTGCGGCGTTATGGTCTACAGTGACTTGTCAGATGTTTTTCTGAGAAGTGGCGTTCGCCATGGTTGTCTAGTTTCCACATCTTTGTCCAACTTCATCGTGGACTCCAACGTGGGGTGTTCGCTTGCGGAGCCTCACGATGCAGATGTTGGGGTACTGCCTGGTGAAGAGCTAGTTGATCTCGTTTTTGAGGTTGATATTGTCTTGCTGTTTAACGATATTTGAGTGCCACAATCAACTCTGAATTGCCTCTCTAGAGTGGTCCTAACATTTGACATGCGCTTTACGCCTTCAGAGTGCAGTGTTTTTGTAGGAACGCCAGCCACTTGATGACTTCTTGACTTTTGATAGCGAGGAACTCGAGCTAGTTGATCAATACAGCACTGATGGCCGCATAATCATTGAAGTCAGTTCACGTACTGCAAGAGCTAGAACTACGTTCGATATTTTGGAACATATTTGGAACCTGAGAAGGCTTTTATGTCAAGAGCGAAACGTTTTAAGCCCTTATAAATATATTAACCTTCTGAAATAAAATCTAGAACTGCATTCTTGTATCCGCGACATCTGTAACGTCAGAGAGAGCCGTCTGAAAGACCGTGTTTACAAGGCCACAGTGAGGGCCGTCCTACTCAATGAGAGCGAGACAGCCCTATCGCTCTGAGGACCTGTGGCACCCTTAAGTGTTTGCTCATCCTTCTCTACGAAACATTGCTGGTGTCGGATGACAGCAGCGTGTCCGCAGCAGTGCTGTTCTAGGCGAGTGATGGGCAGTGATAATCATGCTAGTTCCTTAAAACAACAGATAGCACAAAACAAGTTGCGTTGGCTTGGGCACGTACTGTGTGTCCAGTCACTGCTTACCTAGGAGAGACTTGTTTTGTTTACCAGATGTAGGATGGCGCAAGGCTTGTGGTGGACAGAAATTAACTTGGCAGCGGGGAATGAAGTCACTGACGACCAAACTCGGTACCGTCGGTCCATCTCCCTTTTATGCAGGAATCCTCGTGACGCGTATTGGTCTTTGCTTGAGACGTTACTGCACATGCCTCGCCGTCGACACCAGTGGTGTGTCTGCTGTCGTCCCCTAGTCGGGATGCCTGTCTAGAGTGTTTCATGTTGTTTTATCTGTGGATTAATGGTTGATTATGATCCGGAGTAGAGAAAGCTGCAAGGAAGCTGTCTTGTTGACGGCACCACATCTTTACACGATAACCAGCTGTTTGCGACGATATATTTTTGACAAGGCGTAAGCGCCTTTACCCAGCGTGTTTGTTTAGGGCATTAAGGTTTTACGCTAGATCCCCCTTCATCCTTCCGTAAGTCGTTGGAGTTGTACGGCAGCGAAGCATTAGTCCAAATAGTTGCTGATGAGGTTTGCTATCTTTACCAGGCATGGTAGTCTTCTTGTTCGTCGGAAATGGAAACCTTCGGAAATATTCCGTCTGATACGGGAAACCTGTCGAAACGCTTGGAGCGTTGGGCTGAATACGTTGAAAAGCCATTTGGTCGTTTGGAATTACTAGATTCGCCACCAGCCAGTGACCACCACCTTGCTCCATGGGCCATCTCTCTCGCGCAGAAGTCGAACGTGAGATCGGACTGCCGAACTTGAATATAGCCGCAGGGCCAGATGATCCTCCTCAAGCCTTTTTCAATTTAGGAATGATTTGGACGATATATTAGTAAAACTGTGGGGGCAGGAGACAGTCCCCACTAACTGTAGCATCCCTGTTATTATCCTCCTACTCAAGGGAGGATTACGATAATCATAGGGGAATAAGTCTGAGCTCGATTACCTCCAAGTTACATGCTCGTCCTCCTTGACATGTTGGTTGTCGCCCGTGGATACCAGTTACGTGATGAGCAAGCTGGGTTTCTTCACAATGGGGGCTCGTTGACCACATCTTCACTTCACGTCAGTTATTGGAACACCACCACTTATATTGGCAACCCACCTTAGTCTTGTCCCTCGGCATTAAAAGAGTCTTCAGTCTGGTTGGTCGATATGTCCTTTGCAACTGATCAAGAGAAATGTTCCCACTAAAAGCGTAAACCTTAACAGACCGCTGTATGCGCGAAGTTCAGGTAGTGTGTGGGTTTAAGGCATACGTCGCTGCCCTTTTATATCTCCATCGGTATGGGACAAGGTTACCCGCTGTCATCTTTCCTTTTTTACTTTGCCATCTTCGAAATCATGGAAACTGCGTTCACCGGACATAGCTTAGATGATGTGGAATCTCTTTCAAGCGATTAGTTTCTTGACTTGGAGCATGCTGACGATATTACTCTAATCTGTGACAGTCCATGACCTTTTCAAGCTGCACTGCACATATTAGCACTGTTTTTGCATTTTTGAGCTTTTCTTTTCAACCGCGCATGCAAAATTTTCCTCCAGGATTAATGGAGACTGCCGTTTGCTCTGACTCTTGGTTGCTATCGACGAAAAGTCGTTCAAAAATTCAACTATCTGGGTGACTATACCAGTACCTATGGAATGAAAAACGAAGTGACAAACCGCATAACAGAAGTTCGAGGTGCTTTTGCCAACCTTTGGCACATGTGGTGCAGGCGCGGCATCAATCTCGCACTAAAGGATGTAGTCTACAATGCAATCGTTCGTTCAACATTACTATGCAGTTGTGAAACCCGATCCATCAAATTGACAGATGTACGAGGATTGCTACGTTCGGCCACCGGTTCCTTCGTAGCTTAGCTTTTATCCGGTGGGAACACCGTGAGAGTATTGAGCGTTTTCGTTACCTTATTTATGGCACTGGACGAGGAAGTGAACCGCTCAGCACCTTCATTTCGCACATCGAGTCCCAATGGATGAGCCATCTGTAACGCATACCGACACATTGACTTTGTGACATGCGTTGTTTGTGCGACCGGGGCGTAGATGGAAGATGTAGGATTCCAACCGAACGACGTGTTCAAAAATAGTCCCTCACTTCAATGGTGGCTTCCGTTGGAGCCTCTCGATTTTCTAGTTGTGGGCCGAAAGATGGTGGATATGCTTGTTTGGATACACTTGTCGACATAGGGGAAAACTGACCATACCGGCTTCTGTGTTCTGAGTTTCTTTATTCCGTCCCATCCCGCTTAGCCTCTCACACCAACCAGAATCTCGTTTATGCATAAGATAGAATGAGGTTTCGTGATATTTGTCTTACCTTGTTGTTATTTTCTTTTGACTGCTATATGATCGAATTTTATTGCCATACGATGCTTGGTGTTTCTTACCCTAGCTTACTGTGTAAAATAATGGCGATGACCTCGCCCGGTCACACTATCTGAACGCTTTGTTTGCTCTATCTACCTCAGGCTGCCAAAACACTTACCCAAAGAGGATTCAAAGTTCATGTGCAAGCTGGTGCTGGTTTGAATGCCCAGTTTCGTGATGCCGATTACGAAAAGGCGGGCGCAACTGTGCTTACCGGTGATGTTGGAGCTCTCTATGCTGATAGCGATATTGTGTTGAAAGTTCGAGCTCCGTTAACCTCTTCCAACAAGGATACTGACGAATTGAGCTTGATCAGAAATCGATGTACATTAATCAGTTTAGTATATCCAGCGCAAAACAAGGTAAAATCATATGTGTCGGTACACTTTTCCCTTTAATTCCTGTCACGCTGCTTCTGTAAGGACTGGCACATTAAGTTCCCTAGGGGTAATGTTGCAGTTGAATAAAACCTGCGCACGGAATATTGGTACTGTTCTCACATTTCACATTTCAAAGTGCCTGTTTACGTCCCTAAACTTTAATCACCCATTCAGTAGTTAGCTATTGCTGCATTGAACTGATAAGCCGTTATTGTGAATCCACTTGTTATTTGCGATTCCCACACGGTTGCTGTTCTAACTGGGGTTACCTGGATACACTCGCAGTAGGTCCGTTTGAAACCCTCCTCAAAGCCATGCAATTACGATTCTAATGACGGTTTGTTTGAATGCTGATCACTTAGCCTCCTGTGTTTCGTTCACTATTACTTTGTTCTCTCGTCTTGGGATCAGTTCGACTTCTTTCGTACATTATTATTGCGAGTATGATCGTCCACAGCGGTACTGACGCGCAGCAGCTCCAATGAACTGTGCAGAACTTCATACTTCGTTTCCTCTCCTTTGCACCAGGCTCATTTTCAGTATACGCCACCACCAGTTATTTCTAATTAGGTTCTCTAACTATTTGATCTGCGTGCTGTTTATAGATAAACTTCAACTACTTCATTTGTGAATATCCGTCGGCCTTTACACATCGAACTTGCATTGTCAGGTGCTTTTATTTAGAGCACCTACATCTAACCTCCACTGGAGCCATATGGTAGCCACATCCCCAAGATATATTTCAGGCTCCAGCTTGATATTCTTTCTTTTCTCACGGATTCGATAGTCCATAGCATTCTCCAGTTCTCTTTCTCTGGTTAATAGTGAGGGATCTTTCATAGCATTGTGCCATTCTCTCCTGTTCTTGCGGACGGAGGTATCCAAGGCTCACCCCATGCATAGCGCTAAAGATATGCAAATGGTCTTTTAATATCCGTGTTACATTTCAACTGTTGATGTTCTTTATTGTTCTTATTGATACATTTGTTGTCTCCATGCGCCGTCCGCCTATAGTTGTGTAGTTGTGTATCATTAGGGTCTCGGTCACTCCACACCCATTCCTCGCGGAAGCGGCAGGCTGCTGTTCCACAGCGTAACCAAGCAAACCTATTTATATGGTCCGTACACATCACCTGGTTTCACTGGATACACGATTGTGCTGGAAACACTTAGTCCCTTGTTCAAAAACTTCCATGCTGTCGATGCCTATCGTATGTACTATGCTCAGCTGGATATACCACGCCCCATTTCCTCATTATCGATCTAATGACGTGATCTCTGTGTCAACTAGAGCTTCTCACTAATTTTTTTCCCATTATTCTGCACACAACCAATATATAACCGTACTCGTCAACGAAGCTTTTCGTCACTACTGTGAAGCTTCTTGATTTCACGATAAACATCGACTCAACCGTTGTGAAGTGCCCCTCTTTCGATAGCGTACTTCTCTTTTGACTTGGTTTCCCGAAATTGTTCCAAAATAGCCATCACCACCATATTAACTTTGTTATGTAGATGCTTCGGGACTATCACATGCGAATTTGACAAAATGGCATTGTCACTTCACTCTTCTGAGCTGCAGTATACAGTATTTAGGGGTTATTATTATTATACTCTGCGTATGATTCACAGATATGGACTGCTGTTTTCAGCAGTAACACTGACATCTGTGTTGAGTCTTATTCGAGTATTTTTGTTCGTCGCAGTCAGCTGACAATTCGGATAAGTCAACTACCTATCCGGAAAAGCTTTTCCGGATAGGTAGTTGACTTATCCGAATTGTCAGCTGACTGCGACGAACAAAAATACTCGCTAAAATCCTTCTACTCATAAGTGAGTCTTATTCATCAGGCAGATTCCATGCTGTTCTATCATCATGCTTTGTTTTTTGGCTGACTGTTGCGCTTCGATGCCTGATACACATTTCCGTTCCGTCTCCTCAGTCTAGTAGTGTGACGGCAACTCGCCATTACGCCTACTGTTTGTTTGTCAACTGGTGGCCAACGTACAACTACCACTGTCTTTGTCTTACCACTGTTTCATGGTGATTTGAATACCTACCGATCCGACTTTTCTATCCTCTCCTGTTTGGCATTCAGTTGTGCTTGCAATTTTCCCGTCCCAGCTCCTGCTTGATGCTCTCAGCTCAAAACAAATCAACCTTTTGGCCTTAGATTGCATCCCTCGAATCAGCAGAGCACAGGCTTTCGACGTTTTATCTTCCATGGCCAACATTGCCGGGTACAAAGGTGTGATCGAGGCTGCGGGACTATTCAATCGCTTCTTCGCGGGTGAGTCTCCTGTGGCATGCCTTATCCTCTCTTTCATTGCACCTGCTGCCTCCACGTCTTACACTTTATTCCTCTGGTGTGTCCATCGCGTGGCCTGTCTGTACCGCCTTCACTTTCGCCATGAGGCCTGCCAACGGTACAGGCTAAACTGCTCTACTTGTGTGATGTGAAGTGTAGAGGAGCATCCGCAAACAGCACAGCTGTTATAGTCGTCCTCCTTTTTGTTTTGGGTCTCAGACGTCACCAAGCCCTTTCGAACTTCATCTGCCCACAGCACATACCCTCCCAGTTAAGAAGATCATGCCTGTTGCATTTTCACTTACGTGTTTGATAGCGAGATGAAAAATTCCAGGCTACTGGCGGTTGTGTCAATTGCAACGGAGATGCAATGCGCGTGTTCAGCTGTCACATTTGTTCTCGATGATCTATGCAAGACGCCCATCTGTCATGCACTGTTAGCTCAGATTATTGGGTACCAATGCGTGATTACTTTTGCCCGGACATCACACTGCTCCATATCTTTCTTTCCTGATGCAGGAGCACTCACTAGCTTCGCTTGGTGTCATTTTGTCTACAAAGAGGATCGTTGCAATCACACGAAATTATCCAACAGATAGATTCCTGAGTCACCAATTGCGATTTTTTCGGTCGTACTATTTTTGGTACGTACGATGCATGCTTACTAGCTGTGAATGGAAATGCCTGTGGTTGCAACCGATGAGGTATCTCGTTCTTACTGCGAATTCCTCAATTATTCGGTCAGGATGTAGCACATTATTACATCTTCATCTATCGCACTTCGACTCTCAGATCATTGTTGACTACGACGACTCCCCTCCATCTGTATTGTCAGTATGCTCTCCAGTCGGCCACAAGGTACGTTCTCATAGTCGTATTGGAAAGCGGCCGCACTGGCAACGCATCTACAGATTTCCTTTTGTACGTAGGACTTCTCTTGATCGTGTCGAGCAAAGCATGCTGATAAACCGATCAGACTACTGTCTGTAGGAACTTGAGACACTTGATCTACTTGGCTCTACATTGGTGTAGGGAAGGCTCTAATGAATGCTGTGTTGTTACACGTGTTTGGATGATACTTTGCTGCGAGCCAGACACCACACACACGAGCGGTCGGATGTCGCCTGCACGCGAAAGCGGAAGCAATCGCTATTCGGCTCAAAAACCCGGACATATGTGCACAAAGAAATTTGTCCAAGCCTTTCGTCCGCTTTGGCTGTTTCAACCACAGATGGTGATCATACTACTTCTCCCACTTGGCCTTCACCAGGCCAGTCACTATATCCCATCAACTAAACATTTCAGTCCACTAATTTGCCGCATTCAACTTTGGTGTTTCAGTTGGAGGTCCTTTTGGTTGTGGTATGCTCTCCTGAAGACAAACCAATAAAAAAATCCTGCTCGCTGATCCTTGACTCCTGCACTTCCTGCTGGCTAACTAAAGAGATAACAAGCATATTGCGTGAATTAATGCTGTTGAACCCAGCACTGAACTGGCTCATTACTTGGGTACGAGAGTAGCGTTCTGTGATTTTCATTCTCTTTCCTTCGCGCATGGTTGCTTCAGACACGATTAGCGTGTACCGTTGAAGAGCTTTCGGAGAGTCAGATTTTATGAAGGGGTCAAGAAGTTGCTTATTCTTGCAGCATAATTTATCCTTTTTCGACTATATTTAATGCATTCCGATGGCTCGTATACCTTGGTATCCAACTGACTAATGTGTAAACTATTAGACTCACACATACAAAGCGGACTAATGTCACTGTGCAACATCATTTTGATGACAGAAATGAGATCAGATGTTTCTAGTAGTACCAAGTGAGCTGGTTACGAATATACATACCAGATGTTTCCATCACGTCGGGTCTTTTTTAGTTTTTAGTTTTCATTTTAGCTAAGCAGTGCGTTCCATGCACCGAGTGCTCGCCTGTGATTGGTCCATTGGCTCTCTGTAATCCTGGAAAAGAATTCCTCTTGGCTATATTATCGACGTGATACTGACAGCTGAGAGCTGTGTTCCCTTAATTGATATCTTGATCATGGCTGAAATGATCGAAATCATTTTTGTTACGTCTGTAGACAGTTTACTATAAAGTCGCAGTGCAGACCCATTTCTTCACTACTCTAGTCTGCCTACCACGCATATTTCGGGATGAAACTGGAAGATCAGGATAAGAAGTGGGCACCGCAATCTTCATCTTTAATCTTCATCTGACTCAGTGTCTCAAGGGTAAAGGCAAGATGCCCTTTGCAATCCCCATGGTTTGAAGGGAGCCGAAGGATCACACGGCAGACTGCTACTTCTGCATAACCAGTGTGATTGGAATCTTCAACCGAAACAAGGACAAAATTCATTACCCCCTTCTTCCACCACCTATTCGACCTGTTCCTCATGATTACACCTTATCCATGTCAGTGCTTCCAGTGAACGTGTCACTGATGATGAGTAGCGATTCCGCATCATCAACTGCCCCTGATTCGGACATTCGTGAGAAATTTGAAGCTGAGGTTGTCAAGCTACATCTTATTGACCAATAAGAGCTGAATGACTTGGTGCGTAACGTGGGCTTGACTTAACACAAGGCCGAATTGCTGGCATCTAGACTGAAGCAGTGGCACTTACTTGCTGCAAACACCAAGGTTACTGTATACAGAAAGCGAACTGTTAAATTGTCCGGTTTTATGACACGAGAGAAACCGTTTGTTACTCTTACAATGTGGAAGAATTGATGAATGAGCGTGACGTGAGGCATATCAGTGATGAATGGCGTTTGTTCATTGACTCGTGCAAGAGTAGCCTAAGGCCATACTGCTCTACAATGAAAATGTGTACTCAACTGTGCCTCTGTTGCATGCCCCCCCATAGGAAGGAGGTTTACGGAAGTATGCGACAGTTACTCGCTGCATGAACTACGATAAGTACTGTTAGAACTGCTGTGTTGACTTCAAAGTCATTGCACTCCTAATAGGTATGCAAGAAGGCTTTACAAAAAATTGCTTTTGCTTTTGGGACAGTAGAAGAAATCAACAGCACTACACAACCGAAAGGTGGCCAGAGAGAACGGAGTATGGTGCAGGGAAAATGAGTGTAAAGCATACATCTGTTGTGCAAGCTGATCATGTCTAGGTACAACCTCCGCATATCAAGCTTGGTTTGATTAGAAACTTCGTCAAAGACCTCTAGCGAGATGGCTTTGCGTTCCAGTACCTGAAACAAGTGTTTCCACAGATCAGTGATGCGAAGCTTTAAGAATGGATACTTAATGGGCCTGATATTCGCCGGATACTGACAGAGAGTGCTTTCGAATGCCAGTTGACTTCATTTGAGTTAGAAGCGCGACGATCATTCAAGGCAGTGTGTACAAAATTTTTTGACAGAACAAAGGTAGAGAACTATAAAGACATCTCAAATAGCTCATTGTGGGCTATGGGGCTGTTGGTGCTCGAATATCACTCAAGATGTACTTTTTGCCTACTCACCTTGACTTTTTCCCTGATAACTTGGGATCTGTTAGCGATGAGCATGGTGAGCACTTTCACCAAGACATTCCAGTCATAGAGCAGCGCTACAGTGGCAAGTACACGCCTTCTATGATGGGTGACTTGCTGGTTTCTGCAGCGTAAGGTCTCTGGCTCATACAAGTGACGACCTCGACGAAGTCATCATTTCCCAGTCCCAAGCTGCAGTCACTAGTTAGCGGCGAGTGTTGCAGTAATGTTTTAAACGTATTTTCCACATAGATGTGTTCTGTAGATGTTGTGACTCAATACGACGTAGCCTTGACATTACTGAAAATAATCATTTGCTTATAACAATGTAACCTGACTTGCTATATGTAACATCGGAATACATTTCTACAATCAGTGGGGTGTATTCTATAAGATAGGGACATTAGCATTTCTGTTGTAGGAAATAAGTTTTATTGCATAGTGCATTCGAAACCACAGTTTAGTTTGTCAACTATGAGATGTACATCCGACAGAACATGCCTACATCGCGCTGTTACGACCTTAGCATTTTTACTTGTTCACGCTTGGTGATTCTGTCTTTCCTAGTCAGATGGTTTGACGAACAAATTAACTGAGAACAGGAGTTGCCCATCTGTCTACATTTTACATTTTAATTATTATTTAGAAGGATATATTATTCAGACCGTTATCTATGGACCATTCCTGTTTGCTTTACCGAAGACTGAAATTAGTTTCACCGACACACTCGAAACAAATTCTGGGCGTGGCAACGTCCATCTTCGCCTCATTTGGTTCTCTCTGCATGCGTATTCATTTTTTTGCATCTTATTCCCTCAAGCCCTTTCGCTACGCAATTCCTGGGTAATGCATTTGAAGTCGCCTTTTTTACATTGCTCAACTTCCGATTGGACGCTTATTGAACTCACTACACTTAACCAGTTCATCACTGTTCATCCACGTCGCACGCACTACTTGTGTCAAACTTTTTGACCGAAAAATATTACTCAATTACGACCAGCGTTCAGTTTCAGCCTTATCTTGCTCTGGAGACCAACTGGCCTCCATTTTTCTTTGTTCTAATGTCTACTTTCTAGTCGTGCTACCTATACTACTGAGTTGCATTTCGCTACCTTACAGAAAGCAGTCTGCTGCTGCACCTCTAATCTCTTGTCCCATACTTCACCTGTAACCTTAGGTCAAATCACTGCCGCCGGACGCATCCCTCCTGCTAAAGTCTTGGTCATTGGTGGTGGGGTCGCCGGTCTATCGGCCATCGGCGCTGCTCGGGGGTTAGGCGCCGTCGTTCGTGCCTTCGATACCCGAGAAGCGGTACGCGAACAGGTAGAATCGATGGGGGCCGAATTTCTCACCGTAGCTGTTAAGGTAAGCCTGTGTGTGTTCTCGAACTTTTCACTCACTATGCATTACCTTTGTTATGTCTTGCTGATGGTACAAGTCAATGTTCGTATGGCATTACCAGGCCGTAAGAGTGAGTGCTTACGTTTGACCGATGTGTATCATCATAGAAATGCACATGTATGTTCCCTCTATGCTATGCACATTTCCCTGTGCCCCATGCTGAGGCTGATGTTGCATTCATGATGCTTCTTCACCGCAGTTGGGCCAAACCAACTTGCACTTAAACTAGGTATTTTTAAACCGGATAAATTACGTCCCACTTTAGTTGGTTTGTTCTGCGTACCTGATAATTTTCTCCTAACTTGCACACGTCGCTCATGCTAATTGTGGCAAACTTGCGTAACTTTATCACGTGGTATTTTTCAAATAACGTTCGGAAATTTTGTACTTATCGCGGATTCGCTTGTAACCAATTTACTCCATATGCTCATTTAGCGAGTATTTTTGTCGTCATATACGTTTACTTTATACGATATCTTTTATTTGATATCGGCATTTCGAATGATTGACTGTTGTTTGACATCCCAGGTGTGGCTGCGCTTGATGTCATGTTGACAAGGTGCCTACCTGTCTATTACCCACTACCTCGTCCATACTCGCTCCAAGAAACAGTTGGTCATTGCTGGAGGGGACGGCGTGCACGGTCCTTGTGGTCGTGCTAGGCTCAAAGAGTAATTCCATACACTCAGTGTGGTGCTGACTACGGTCCAGCCACCGCCTTGTGTGCGCTTGATTCCCCAAATACAGCGTGCTTGTGTTTGCCTGTGAAGGAGTGTGGGGCGGCTCCGTTGGTGAAACGTGGCTCCCATCCACATGCCTCCCGGTCTTATTCCTTCGGGTTTACACTGGATATGCCATCGCAACGAGGCTGGACCTTAACGTGGCGCGATGGTTTGCGTGCTTCAGCGATCCATTGAGCTATGCTGGGTGGTGCTTTTTTTTACACTTTCAGAGCCACTCATACCAGATTGGTCAATGGTTAGAGGCCAGACAAACTCAGCCTCCTGGTCCTCCAGGTTGTGGGTTGGAATGTGGGTGGCTCCTTATTTCATAAAACGGACTCTCTGTAGTCCATTGCCAAAACCCGCTGTCTTGTGGTAAGATTTTTGAACCAAAGGCTTTGCTTGAGAACCCTAATCGTTCTGTCTAGGCCTGGGCAACCTGACAGTATTCTGCCCACGCAATACAATAAACCCTTCATCAAACAATTTCTTGGTGCTCTGTCCGTCGCAGAGGATAATAAACGGTTCCCTATCTGCTGCATCGAGCAGGGTGGATAGGGGTATGGATACTACTGCTCAGGCCTTCCCGTCTTCTTATCCCCTTCTTGCGCTTCTTCATCCTTATCGTCCCGCTCCAACTTTACTTTTATCCCCCATTTTCAATCCCCAATCCTTGGCCCTCCCCCACCTTGCTTCAATAGTCGCTTGTCTTCTAGTTTCCAATCCCACACAGTCGACAAGCCCATGTTCAGCCAAGCGGACAACGTCAGTTCATCCGTTTCCCTTTGGAGTGCTTGCGTCTCACTAAGACTGGCATGTGTCAACGTGCGCACTTTGCTTCAGCTTGGCCAACAGGCAGCACTTGTCCGCACATTAGAAACTCTGTCGATCGATGTTTGCTGTTTATCAGAAACCCGCCTGCAAGATTCGAGTTTCGGGTTTACCCTGCGATCCCCCACATGCGACACTGGCGGCACATTCTCATTGCGCCTGTCTGGCGATGATGCAGCTTCAAATGCCGGTCAAGCTGGCGTCGGCATTGTTTTGCGTCCACGGGCTGAAGCTGCCCTGACCGATTGGATCCCAGTAAACAGTAGGATGTGCGCCGTTAGATTATCTAGTTCGTTCCGTGCTGCGAAGTCGCGCGGGGACAAACGGTGCCTGCTTGTCATTTCGCCCTGCGCCCCTACAAACTGTAGCACTGATTCGGTAAAAGATGATTTCTATCAGTAACTTCACGATCTCCTTCTTTACAGAAGAAGCACGGATACTGTGGTGTTGGCTGGCGATCTAAACGCCCAAGTCGGAAAATTGTCCTCTGCTGAGCTTCATCTGGGTGGCCAACATGGTGTATGCCCCCGTAACGACAACGGTGAGCGATTGCCACAACTGTATGAAGATTGTGGCCTCTTCCTCGCGAGCACTAACTTTCGACACCGCATCCGCAGAAGCGTGACTTGGCGGCCACCAGCCTTGGGCCAGCCATGGACGCAAATCGACCATATCGCGATCAGCTACCACCGGAGTGGCTGTGTCCAAAACTGTCATTCGATTTGGAGCACGGGCGTGGACTATGACCACGCACTTGTCGACGCCGACCTTGGGGTGCGTTTCGGTGGACGTCCGCAACGTCGATGTGAACGGATTGACACCAGCCAGGTGTACTAAATGTGTCTCAAAGTTCGCTGACATCTGGGCTGAGTAAGCGCCCCCCACTGGTTGCATATTAATCAAACCTTACTGTTGGCAGGTATGTCTTCATGTGGCAAAGGAAATTGCCAGACGGGACATTGGGTCTCTACACAGTCTCTGGAACTTATGGATGCTCGCCGACGTATTCCGGCCGGAAGCGAATACAATGAGGCTCGCAAAAATCTCAGGGCAAACTACGTGCTAGCCTGAAGAAAGACCGCGAAACCTGGTGGTCTCATCGTGCTTCTGAGATGGAAACAGCCGCTACCGTTGACAATCATCGTAAGTTATTCTGTCTGATACGGGAAACAGGCAGCAGGAGACCTGGTATTAGCGAGACCATACGCGACGAGAGCGGGCAGCCAATCAACAGCCTGTCAAAACACTTGGAGCATTGGGCTGAACACTTTGCAAGGCAATTTAACCAACCTGAGTTATCGGTTTCTTTTTCGGGCACTGAGCGCCCTTCTCCCTGGGCCGTCTCCTTAGATCCGCCCTCAGGCTCAGAAGTTGAACGTGTGGTAAGGCTGTTGAAATTGCATAAGACCGCAGGAACAGGTAGAATTCCCCCAGCCCTCTTCAAATTCTGGAGACCTGCTCTAATAGTTGATTTACACGAGTTGCTAGTGAAACTTTGGGAGCAGGAGACTGTCCCGACAGACTGGAACCGCTCCGTCACTGTCCCAATTTTCAAGGGAAACTCCCGTTTGGAACGCGGCAATCATAGAGGGATCAGTCTGTTTTCGATTGCCTTTAAATTGCTTGCCCCTGTCCATTCTCCACAGACTGACCGGCACTCGTAAAAGCCAGATTCGTGAAGAGCAAGCCGGATTTCGTCGAGGTCGGGGCTGCATCGACCACATCTTCACTTTGCGTCAATTGTTGGAGCACCACCATGTTTATTGGCGACCCACCGTTGTCGTGTTTCTTGACATAAAAGGTGCCTTCGACTCAGCCAATCGATGTGCCCTTTGGGACTGTCTGCTGAGGAAAGGTGTGCCTGATAAATATGTAAACATTATCAAAGCGCTGTACGCGCATAGTTTGGGCAAAGTGAGAGTTTATGGCGAATTGTCGCCACTCTTCAGTATCTCTAGCGGTGTGAGACAAGGTAGCCTGCTGTCACCTCTATTTAACTTCGCTATCGATGAAGTCATGGAAACAGCGTTCGCTGGACGCGACCTAGAAGGTATGGAGCTACTCCCTGGTGAGCAACTTCTTAACTTGAAGTATGCGGACGATGTTGCCCTAATCTGTGACAGTTCCCAAACATGCCAAGCAGCACTGGGGCGATTCACGCTGGCCGTCTATAGTTCTGGACTATGCTTTACTCCACCGAAATGCGAAGTACTTCTCCAAGATTGGCAGGGACCCAACCCTGCGCTAACGCTTGGTGGTGATTTTCTAGAAGTCGCTCAAGAATTCAAGTACCTGGCGGACAGCTATATTAGCACTCGTGGGATTGAAGATGAGGTCACGAACCGTATAGCAAAAGCTCGAGGCGCTTTTGCCAATCTCCGCCACCTGTGGCGCAGACGCGACATTACTCTCGCCCTGAATGCCAGAGTTTATAACGCAGCCGTCCGTTCAACTCTCCTATATGGTTATGAAACCTTAGCCCATCAGGTCGACAGACATAAAGAGGCTCGTCATATTCGATCATCGCTGCCTTCGCAGCTTAGCTCATGTCTGGTGGGAGCACCGCGTGAACAATGAGCGTGTTCGGCGTCGCGTATTTGGTGCAAGAATAGCGAGTGAACCGCTCAGCACCAGTTTATCACGCACCAGGCTCCGATGGTTGGGCCACGTGTTGCGCATGCCAGCACACCGACTTCCGCGACGTGCATTGTTTGCGCGTTGTGGGTGCGGTAGGAAGAGCAGGGGAAGTCAAGCAATGACTTGGTCGAGAGAGATGAAAACCCTCACTTCGAAGTTGGCGTCGGTTGATGCATCCCGACTGTCTGGCTGAGGTTCTAAGGACGATGAACACGTTTGTTTGGAAACACTTGCTGATATGGCTAGGAGCCGGACCCAATGGTGTTTGTGTTGTGAGTTCCTTTGTCCATCACCCTCCTGTTTAGCATCCCCTCCAATCACGATCTCACTTGTTAGGCATAATATGACTTTCTTTTACGGCAGCCAGCTGTTAGCTCTCCGGAACGATGTCCATCCGTTACTGGGGACTCAGCCGGCGTGCCACTGTATTTTTTCTTGTCTTTTGTATTGCGGCACAATAGCTGCGGTGTTTTCCTCCTGCAGCTAACGTGTATAATGATGATGATGACACTGGATATGTGGTGTGTGGATGGGGCTGTGGGTAGTGCAGCGCAAGTCATCCATGGTCCCTCTGTAGGCGCAGGCGTCCTGTGGCTGGCCACAGTGACAGGCAAATCCGAAACCGGATGCCGCCAACCATGTATGTATTTGTGCCCAATGCTGAGGTTGATGTTGCATTCTTGATGCTTCTTCACCGCAGTTGGGCTAAACGAACTTAAACTGGCAAATCCGAAACCGGATGCCACCAACCATGCATATTTCCCTGTATTTCACTTTCTCTAATCAATAATTGCCTACCACCAGAACTTCTCAATCATTGCTATAGTTTTGATTGAGAATGCCATGGTTTTGTTTGGCTCTATGTCTATTCGTTAGACTGTTGCTAATACTGCTACTCTTACTCTCAAGCACGAGAAGTTTACTTTTGGTGAATGGGCTCACGCAATCCTGCATCGATAGCTTGTTGAACTTGCCTGAATCTAAAAGTTATGAGACTAATTCCTTCATTTCTACTGCTACATGTGCAATATGTGATTCCCTCCCCAGCTTTTTCATAGATGACTGGATTGAGTTAACTGACCTATAGACCTCAGCAAGCCATGTAGTGAGGCTGTTGAGGTCATGCTGAAATACATCACATTCATTGAAAGCATCAGTCGCTCTTCACTTTGTCCGTAAACAGATAACACGTCGGCCGAAGAACTTGATGTAGATCGTTGATATAGATAAGGAGGAAAGTTGGCCCGTCTCTGTACTTTGGGACACGCCATTGGCCGAGGGACACCCCTCATCCAGGTTGCCGTTGATATATCCCTCCAATTTCTTTCGATGAGAGTCTCACGCATCCAGTCGTACAGCAGTCATACTCGAGAACAACTGAGATCAGTAAAACGGACGTAACTCAAGTAGTTCCGGAGATACGGTAGCCGGTCAAAACAACGGCACAGAGACTGCAATAAACTGAGCCCGCAAGCAGCTCTCTGCGTCTGAGGTGTACCTAGCACCACAACTGCTCACATCGGTTATCATGGCTTCGACAGGTGCTCATAGGTCTCTTACATCTTCGACTAGTAGCCGAAATGATTACACACACGTCTTGTACTCCGGAGGTCACTGGTCCGACTCCGCGTACTTGAGATCGACCTCGCAGTATGCTCAGTCTGCGCGTTACTACTGTGGGTAGTCGCGTTGCAACGAAGCGTCGATGCGATGTGCCGGCGTACCGCTGTCGCCTTTCTTACTTCCTGTACATAGCTAAGACGGGATATATAGTAAGACGCCATTTCGGGCATCCGATAGCATAGCACAGTGGAGGCTTACTTTCTCATGTGATTAGCTCAGTAATAAGCCACACTGTAGCCACTAAAGTTATTCCCATTCTATATTCATGTTATTTATTGTTAATCATAATGAAAGTATTTCTGTTCGGCCTTACCATCGATTGCGGACTATTGGACCTCAGCATCACATTTTCGCCCACCTGGTGAGCATGTATTAATCGCTCAGATCAACGCACTCTAGATTTGAGTTCTCACTCTTTCCATGCTTGAGTACCGTGGTAAGGTCCGAGCTCACGTACAACGGCTCACGTTTGTGTGGCAGCAGAACATCCGTATCGAATGCTGGTCCACTTCCGATAGCTGAATAACGAAATCTTTCAGCCACTTGCACAGTAGAATAAACGGTCAACTATCCGGTTAATTAAGCCTCATCGTTGATCCCTTCCGCGCAGTATGTCGCCGACACGTCTTTCTCTTAGAATCTCACCATGAATGGAACACAAGGGACAGATTTAGATTCATATTAACACACCTTATTTTGTTGTCCAACTCCCACATCTCATTTATTGAATTATAGGAATCCGGTGAAGGTGTTGGTGGCTACGCGAAAGAGATGTCGAAGGCCTTTCTGGACGCCGAGATGGAGCTGTTCGCGAAACAAGCAAAGGAGGTGGACATCATCATCACGAGTGCCCTCATCCCCGGAAAACCAGCGCCAAAACTGATAACCAAGGTACTTCAGCATGTTCCACCTGTTGGGATAATGATCGTTCAGCCTATCTGTTCTCATTGTCGATTAGTTTCTCCAAGGCTATTCGGTCTGCGGTTGTTACCCTCGCTCTCTCTCGATCGCCGTAGGTGCCGTATGTCACCACTGGGGCCTAACTTCTCATCTGTATGCTTTGATATCGACTCACAACGTCGTGACCCAATTGACGTAGCTTAAAAGCAACGCCCTGCTCTCTGGTATGCATTTCATGTCAGTTTGCTTTGTTTTCATATCTCCAGCAAGTGGCTGCGCTGCTAACGACACATCACCAACTAATTATTCCCGAATTGGCTCTAAACCTCATTTTGACTCCAGTTCTTTACGCCCTATCTTTCGGCTTCGTCTTCTCTTGCTCCCAGTCGTCGCACACTTGCCGCAGCTCGTAATTCCTCGACGGGAAATGGCACATCCGTAGACGATTTCTCTCGGACCGCAGTGAAACCTCTTTTACCTTGGATGCAGTCTCACTGCTCGTATCGACTGCCGTTTGCTTCAAAGTAAGGCGTAGTCCGAATTGAGAATTACGCATCGCAACCCAACCACATAATGAGCTCCAAAGTCGAACAACGAATCCTCAGTGCCATTGCTAATTCTCCATTTATTTTGATCAATTCGCTCATTGCCTAAGTGTTTTACTAACTAAGAATCACGATGCTTACTTTTAACCGATTCCCTGACTATTGAGTTCATTCTGTTGTCGTTAATAAGGGTGGTTGGTGTGCATATCTCCTAAACGACCGATTCATAGATTCAGGACGTTTACCTCATCGGTATCGTCATGCCGCCGGTCATTTACTGCCCGTGATTCCACTCGCAAAATCAAGTCGATTTATATCTTTCTGAACATTCACAATACTTTACACTGTTTACAGCCCGCTTCCTTGGCACAACTAGATCAGGTCAAACGGTGGATTGTCCGAATACAAGGCTTGTGCCGCCTTATTCTTGGTTCATACCGACTAACACACCTATCATTCAGTGACTGTGGCAAGACCTTTTGTATGTAGGTATCTCATGTGTTCGGAACGAGCACTTTCATTCATTTTGAAAAGTCTGCTCTTCCTGACCTTCGGCTGTAGCTCCGTAGTGATTTTCTCACCAGTGGGGGGCGTGAACTTAAAGTTTGCTGATATAAATTTACAGGCATCACTTCTCTTATATCCCTTATTTACAAAGAGTGTACGTCAACGAAGCGACGAAGCTCAACTTCGTTTGGTCCGGTTCGGCTAAACAGTTATGACATGCACACCGCGGTGCGGTATATCCACTGGCCACAACTTGCATCTCCAGGGTAACAGTATTGAATACTAAGGGGAGGGAAGGAAGTTTAACTCATTAGAATTCGGAAAAATGGAGCAAAAGTAACGTCAATAAATTTAATCAGCTAAGTGCAAGAAACCAAGTACTGGGACTCCGATGCGTTCTCTACTGCATTTTATTAGATGAGATTGCTGATCCCCGATGTGATCCATCCGAGGCCCCTATCCAGGAAGACGGCATGCATCACAATGACCAAGTCACTTGGATAATTTTGCCACGTTTTTGTGACCTTTTTTGATTGATCCACTCGTGTTTTTATCCCGTTCATTTCAACGGCAACATATAATGCGCGCCAATGAAAACAGTCAACGAGCACACGGAGGATCTAATTGTTGACTATTTGTCATAACACATACACAGGTGACTTTTAGATCATAAAAGGAATTGTTGCGCCTTGTCGTTTTTTAAATTCCCCATTGTACCCGTGTTAGTTGTGCTCGTCTTACAGGACATTGCTATCCGTCTACCTAAACATCAGTGTTGTTAAACAACCATCCCTTTTCAGGTACGCTTACATACTTTTCGCGAAAGTTAGAGCACTAGTTTCCAGCTTCCATTTCGACAGTTCCGGTTGCGAAACGAAACTCCCCAGTTGCATTGCTTCATGATATGTCAAGAGCAAACTTATCTGCCTTCGGTTTGATAGCCGAGATAGCATGTTCGATTCTATAAGAATTGCTCTTACGTGACTTTCTTATGAGGTGCCGGTGATCCACGATGTTGATGCGTTCCAAATCTGTTAGCATGCACCGGGCTCCGAGAAGCCTACTACGCCGTATCGTTTATCTGACAGTTCATCGATCACAAGCTACAGCAGATTATTGTGAGGTTTTGTCTACTTCTCACTTTTTAGCGCATACGAGGGTTTTCGGTCGAGCTCACCCCAAACGTTGTGTCCTACGACCGGTTTCGTTCTAATGCCGATGTAGTCGTAGCTGCGAGTTGAATTCGGCGCGTAGTGGTTGACAGCTTACTGGGTTCTATTGAGCTCCACGAGCATCGCTTGGCACAGCGGTTAGGTATTGATTACTGGGCTGTAGATTAGTCACTCTGTGACACGTATTTTCTGTTTTGATCACGATTTACTTTGAAATTAACCTTGATCAATCTAATCAACAGTCAGTGGCCGAGGTTTCACATATGCTGCCAGACGGATGTTTGGAGCATTTGTGATAGGAAAACCAAAAGCAACCTATATGTGTAACCTCATCTATCAGCATTTTATTTAATTGCGTTGTTCACAAAAGCTTTGGTATAATTAACAAGCCTGTCGCCTTTCGCTTTCTCAACAATATGGGTGTGAATTTTCAAGTTTTGGCTTTCTGATATTCACCTAAATCACTTGAGCTGTATGGGGTTGTGTAATGGGACACGTACACTCGACACGGTTCTTTGAACACGGCTGCTGTCGGATCAACAAGAACATTCCGGGTACAGCAAACACTTGGCGAGAAAAGATCCCTTTGACACTCCAAACAGCTGTATTGCTCTGGAATTCTGGGACATTGGCCTCACATGATGCTGAACTTTGATAAATAATAACTCCTGGATTGGATCTCCTACACATTGGTAAATAAAAATGACTCACCACACAAACGTCAATTTTCCCGAACTAATCGACCTCTACTTCAAATTTACTTGTGGCCCAAATTTCGGATGCATATCGTAGTTTAAACACAAATGGCAGCTACTCCAATGTCCAACATTGGAAACTACAAACTGGTGCTCATATTGGCTATCCGTTAGAAAAGTAGGAATCTCCTAGGAATACTGAAAACTGGTTCGAAGCAGCGAGTAGAGCTTTCTCTGTGTAGCTGCATCATTCGTCGTTTTCGGACATGAACTCTTTATTTATCGTTTCGCTCTCTGTACTTTGCCTCTGCAAATTGTTGGTCTAGTAGCATCTTGAATTTAGACACGGTGTTCGCTTCTACTATGTGCTGCGGCAGGTCGTTCCAGACATTCACCACTCTGCGTTCGAAACAGAGTTGGTGAGCGACCCGCTTCAACTTCGGTACGATAAGTTTATACCGGTGTCCTCGCGTGCAGCTTGGTGTGCGCAGATGAAGCAGTTGTCTCAACATGGGGTAATCACCCAGATGTAATATCCGGTGCGTCATGATGAGGTCAGCCCTCAGCCGACGATAAGCTAGGGTGTACAACCCTAGTTTCTTACATCGGTCTTCGTATGGCATACCTCCTAAGTTGGGAATCAGCCTGGTGGCTACATCCTGCACCCGTTCAAGTTTTTATACCTCGCCCAGGGTGATGGGACAATAGGCGGGAGAGCCGTACTCTAGCATTGGTCGTATTATCGAGACGAAGAGGCGAGTAGCAATCTCTTCGGACCAAGTGCTGAAGCTGCGCCTGAGGGCCCAAAGCGTCCGAAGGCTGTTTTGGTACAGCCTATTCGTGTTGTCAATGGACTTTAGGTCGCAGCGTGAGAGCAACCCGAGGTCGCGCACGAAAGGCGCGGGATGCAACGGTTGACCAGCCACTGTGTACGTTCGGCTGCGCTCACACTTACCCAACATCATAAATTGCGACTGGACAGGGTTGATCGGAAGGTTAACCTCTGCAGACCATGTCGAGAGGCGGACAATACTCTTCAGTGCTCCAACGAATTTTTAAGAAAAGCTTAACCGTATGATAAAGAATAGTACACGCTTCACCAAGTATGCGAATACGGTGACGGACATGTTACTGTCTACACTAGTTTGTGTTGTGGGTCTGTTTGTCTTTCCCCTTTAGCTTTCCCTCCGACAACAATCTCAATCCAATGCATAATGTGATTTCAACCTTATGTTAATATTTTAGCTTTTGCAATCTGTAATGTTTGATCTCTTATCCTTTTTATATTGCGGCATACTCTCTGGGGTGTTTCTCACCATCGGCTAACAAGTATTGATGATGATGATTACATTCGGGTGTATCTTCAGTTTAATTATTTATTATGCACGTTAACTGCAGGTGGAAAACACCTCAGCTATTGTACCGCAACACAAAAGACAAGAAAAAATACAGTGGCAAGCCGGCTGAGTCCCCAGTAATGGATGGACATCGTTCCGGAGAGCTATCAGCCGGCTTTCGTGCCGCAAAAAGTTATATCATACCTAACGAGTGAGGTCGTGATTAGAGGGGGATACTAAGCATGAGGGCGGTGGACAAAGGAGCTCACAACACAAACACCATTGGGGCCGGCTCCTAGCCATATCAGCAAGTGTTTCCAACCAAACGTGTTCATCATCCATAGGACCCCAGCCAGGCAGTCGGGATGCACCAACCGACGCCAACTTCGAAGTGAGGGTTTTCATTTCTCTCGACCAAGTCATTGCCTGACTTCCCCTCCTCTTCCTACCGCGCCCACAACGCGCAAACAATGCACGTCGCGGAAGTCGGTGTGCTGGCATGCGCAACACGTGGCCCAACCATCGGAACCTGGTGCTGAGCGGTTCACTCGCTATTCTTGCACCAAATATGCGACGCCGAACACGCTCATTGTTCACGCGGTGCTCCCACCAGACATGAGCTAAGCTGCGAAGCCAGCGATGCTCGACTATGACGAGCCTCTTTATGTCTGTCGACTTGATGGGCCAGGTTTCACAACCACATAGGAGAGTTGAACGGACGACTGCGTTATAAACTCTTCCCTTCAGGACGAGAGTAATGTCGCGTCTGCGCCACAGGTGGTGGAGATTGGCAAAAGCACCTCGAGCTTTTGCTATACGGTTCGTAACCTCATCTTTAATCCCACGGATGCTAATATAGCTGCCCACCAGGTACTTGAATTCCTGAATAACTTCTAGCAGATCACCACCAAGCGTTAGCGCAGGGTTGGGTCCCTGCCAATCTTGGAGAAGTACTTTGCATTTCGATGGAGCAAAGCATGGTCCAAAACGATAGACAGCCAGTGTGCATCGCTTCATTGCTGCTTGGCATGTTCGGGAGCTGTCACAGATTAGGGCAATATCGTCCGCATACTCTAAGTCAAGAAGTTGCTCACCAGGAAGTAGCTCCATACCTTCTAGGTCGTGTCCAACGAACGCTGTTTCCATGACTTCATCAATAGCGAAGTTAAAGAGTAAAGGTGACAGCGGGCAACCTTGTCTCACACCGCTGGTCATACTGAAGGGTGGCGACAGTTTGCCATGCATCTTCAGTGGGCGGATCAATCTTTCTGTTTTGCGACTTTTAGTAAAAGAAACGAGCCTGTAGGATACCTGGTCTTTAGCTAGTAAAAATAAATAACTACTTAAAAAATAAAGCTGCAGAAACAGTTGGTGAACCGCCCAGCACTATTATTTCGCACACCAAGCTCCGATAGCTGGACCACTTGTTGCGCATACCAGCACACCGACTCCCACGTCTTGGGTTGTTTGCTCGCCGGAGTGTGAATAGAAGAAGTCGAGGAGAGGCCAAGCGATGCATTGATCTAGAGGAATGAAAACCCTCACTTCGAACTTGGCGTTGGTCCGACTGCCGCGCTGGGTTTCTAAGGACGACGAAAATCCTCGGTTGGATATATTTGTTGACATGGCGAAGAGCGGATCTCAATTGTGTCTGTGTGTTTTTGTCCCTCTCCATCCCGCTTATTTCCCCTTCGAACCACGATCTCGTTCCTTGAGCATAATCTGTCACTAAGCAGTACATTCCAATGCTTTTGTATGTTTTGCATTTAGTATTTCTCATTATGATATTGCGACGTAGTAATTGATGCGTGTTTCTCTCCCCCAACTAATGTGTAGTGATGATGATTGTGATGAGTGAACCTGTGGTGTGCAGGTAGAAGACGCGATATTATGATAGACGTATCATCAGCTTACGTAACCATGCATGCGGCGAAAGAAGGCACCGCTTGTTCATTTCTGAATACATGCGCATGCATACAGTCAGGTTTTGTTGAAGGGACCTCGTTGTAGCTACACCTGAGATTAAAAGTGTGTTGGGGTTTTACAATGGAAAGTGTGTGTGTGTGTGTAGAAGCGTGGTGTGCCCACTGGTACTTGGATCCAGGGCTCGATGAACTTGACATCGCACGGTTCAGTTCTAACGGGCCGCTCGCTACTTAACATCATTTTACGCACACTCCCGAGGCTTGTGCTTGTCACATGATAGAATGATTCACCTTTGATGTTGCGATTACACTTTTTCACATTCATTGCAAATTTTTAGATGCATCACAACTGTTTACCACCGTTTTACAGCCCTTGGTCTTTTGTTCACTTGTACTTCCCGTGGACTCGAAGTTGCGTTGGTTTTGGTTTTTTCCTCTTGCAACGATTCAGTTTCACTGTTGCCATGTAATGTTTTTATTTGGGTTATTTGTATCCTATGCGCCTGCAGCGTACTTCCATGTCATGTATTTTTAGCGTACTGTCGGCCCATACTAGAAACTTGCACCTTCATCACGTGAGTCTGTGTGTTTGAAGTCAGTCCAAGAGATGCGGAATTTCCCGAGGTAGGGAAGAAAGTTTTCTAATAAATACTACGTTTTCTCTTCATTAATCGTTACTTACATTACTTTTTTGATGAAATTGCATCCGCTTTTCATCCATAGCGCTTTGTATCAGTCGCATGCGAATTGAGCTAAAATTTTGGGAAGCTGACGTACCTGCGCCCCATACGCTTCGTCTCATGAACATCTCAGTTCAGTTCCCCGGGTTTGACACCACTCTGCTGGTTCTCCGAATAAACGAAGCTTTACTAAAGATCACCACTACAGGCGTTTAACTTTTTATTTTGTGTCCACATTTCCATTTGGTCTGGGAACATAGCGAGCTATCCATATGTCATCGATTGGCTTTTGGCAATGTAAGGTTGTGCGATTCACTGGACCATGAGTCAGTTGTACGCCTCCCGTCAGACTCTCACTTTCTTTTCACTCCCCTCAACCTTTACCTCAACGTATAATCTCACTTCACCCGGTGATGCTTCCTTTTAGGTGGCCAGATGCTGATATGATAAGAGGGGAGTTAACATCTGAGAGACCGAGTTGCACGGACGTTTCCGTCTTTTTGACTATGGGCCCCTAGATAGGTCGCATCGGTGGATAACGATGTTACATAATATATCACCAATTTTTTTCGTTCCGCTATCGGATTCCTTGCTCATCCATGCTTCGGTGTTTTCACTATGGTTGGCCAATTGTTTTTGTGCGGTTTACTATTCTTACTATTGTTGTCTTTCACTTGCTCGCGGCCATCTGCTCCGGTAACTCATGCTGCTTGTTCCACTTATCTAGAAACCACATCTCTGGTTCTGGCTCACCAAACGAATTTGGTCTCACCCTGCAGCTTCTTATCACGATGTTCCCGGCCACAATTTACTATTTGTTACTTGGCTCCTTCGTTTACCTCCGTCTCACTCGCGAAATATCCAATCACACACCACCTTTGTCTTACGATTCCATTCTAGATTTTCTAGCATCCAATCAATAATGCGCTGCTATTTTTTCTTGGTTTCTGCTGTCTACTTTGCTCTCTTTCTGCTTTAGGCAATGGTCGAATCAATGCGCCCGGGATCTGTGATTGTCGATCTTGCCGCAGAAACGGGTGGTAACGTAGAGACCACTGTTCCGGGTACCTTGTCCTACCACAATGGGGTGGCGCACATTGGCTACACCGATCTCCCCAGTCGGCTGGCTGGTCAGGCTTCTTCTCTCTTTTCCAACAATGTGACCAACTTCCTTTTATCTATGACTCCACCAGGTAGGCCCTCACCACGCTTTCGCTAGTGCGCTTACAGAATTGCTCTTTTTCCGGCACATCTGTTTCAGGCATTCGTAGATATCTTTGTCGCCCACCGTTGTTTGTCGCCTCCTTCGGTTTTTTCGTCAGTCAGTAATCCACCGGAACAACTGATTAGCGCAGTTTTTAAGTATACTAAACCTTGGCTAACGTGGCGTCGTAGCGTCATCCTTCAACTATTGCTTCTTATTTCACGAGTATCACTGAACGCTGGTGCAATGGTAAATGACTGCGACACACAGAGCAGCATACCTGATCACGTGTCACTGCCAATGCACTTCTCACTTATGAAAATGACCAGCGCTACGCAGTGGTGGCTATGGAACACGCTTTTTCTTCCTGGGTACTGGGTAACCGCGGTTGAGAATGGTAATTTATCGTACCCTCAGTTCCATGTTTTCTCATACGCTTCCGTACACACGGACAGCCTCACCTTTTACGTCAACACCCAACGCTTCGCCGCCATGCATGGATTTGTGTTTTACTCCATCAACCAGAGTTACCGTATTTCATGTGGGCCATTGATCGCTGTACTCCCTTGGCCGTGCCCTTTGATCCACCCTCACGCGCAGAGGTCAAACGTGAGAACAGATTGTTGAAATTGCATATGGCTGCAGGAGTAGATTTCTTCCAGCCCTTTTCAAATTCGAGGGGTCAGCTCTCGTGGATAGTTTGCGCAACCTAGTCGTGGAGCTGTAGGAGTAGGAGACTGTCCCAACCGACTGCAGCCGCTCATTTATAGCCACAATTTTCATGGGAAGATAACGTTCGGAACGCGGCATTCGTAAAGAGCTCAGTCTGATCTTCATTGACTCTAAATCGCTTGCGTCTCTGATACTTTTTAGACTGACTGGCACTCGTAAAAGCCAGATTCATGAGGAACAAGCTGGGTTTTGTAGAAATCGAGGTTGCATTTGCCACATCTTCACTTTACTTCAGTTGTTGGGACACCGCCATATTTACTGGAGGCTCACCGTAGTTGTGGTTCTCGACATCAAAGGTGTTTTCACTTCGCTTGCTCGATATGCCCTTTGGAACTCTGTTCCGGAAAGATGTGTCCGATAAATATGTAAACATTATTGATGTGCTGTACACGCATATTTCTGGCAGAGTGAGGGCTTACGGCAAACTTTCGCCGCCCTTCAATATCTTCAGCGGTGTGAGACAATGTTGTCCGCTGTTACTTTTTAACTTCGCTGTTGATAAATCCATGGGCATTACATTCACTGGACTTTACCTTTAATGTGTCGAGCTGCTTCCTAGTGAGCTTCTGCTTGACTTGGAGTATGTCGACAACATTATCCTCATCTGTGACAGCTCCCAAACGTTCACAGCAGCACTGGCTGTCAATCGTTTTGGGCTACACTTTACACCTTTGAAGGCAGGGATCGACTCCTGCGCTGACCCTTTCATGGTGATCAGCCAGAAATCATCCAGAAGCTTAAGTACTTAGCCAGCTATATTAGCATTCGTGCAATTGAAGAGGAGGTCACGAACAGTATAGCGAAAACCCAAGGTGCTTTTTCCAATATCCGCCACTTGAGGCGCTGGCGCGACATCACTCTCACCCGGAAGCACAGAGTTTACGACGCTACTTTGCGTTTAACCGTCAAGTCCGATTGCGTAACGTGGTCCATCAAATCGACAGACATAAAGAGGTTTCTGATGGGTAGGAACATTTTTAGATTAAATTTCACTGGTTCGTCCTAGAAGCCTACAAGTGCGATAATCCAACCACCAATCCGGAAGATCACCAGACGATCGCTTCGCTCTACTGAGGCTCATCAGTAGTACGCATTCCCTCGGTCCCCTGCAGTGAACCGAACCCGTGATCGCTTGCAGCCTGCGCCAATTTGCCAGCAGTTTATGCTAGGTTCGTTTGTTACCTTCGACCACTGCTGCCTTCGTAGCTTGACTCATGTCTGGTGGGAACATCACGTGACCAATGGGCGTGTTCGGCGTCGTGTACTTGATACAGGAAGAGCGAGTGAACCGCGCAGCACCGTTATTTCACGCACCAGGCTCCGACGGCTGAACCATTTGTTGCGCATGCCAGCACTCCGACTCGTGACGTGCGTTGTTTGCGTGACCGGCGTATGGATGTAAAAAGAGAAAGGGAGGCCGACCGATGACTTGGTCAACAGGAATGAAAGCTCTCACTTCGAACTTGGCCTCGGTTGGTGTCTCCCGATTGCTGGACTGATGCCCCATGGACGATAAACACGTTTGGTTGGATACACTTGTTGACATGGCGAAGAGCCGACTTCATTGGCGTTTGTGTTGTGAGGTTCTTAGTTCCTGCCGCTCTGAGTTCTCTTCACCTTGCAGCCACCATGTCCCAGCCGATGCGCACTATTATATTAACCATAAAATTACTTTTTTTGGTTTTTATATTGTGTAGTGCTTTGGATCTCGATTTTTCATATATCTTATCTTTTTGTATTGCGGCACATTAGCTGAAGTGTATTTCTCACCTACTAGCGTGTACTAGTGGTGGCGATAATCTTTTCTGCTCCAGAAAAGTCATTGGTGTTCTTAGGCTTTCTCCCCTACTTCACATCACCTGTTCATCAAAAATTTCCTCCTTTTTGCTTTCATTCTTTGTGCCGTGGTGACACGGATAATTGAAACTGGCGGCACTCATCATCAGTAGCATAATTGCTTTTGTACCGATGACTCCTTTTGCTTCGTGAAGGGACCCTGGTCAATTTAGTCTATTAACTGGCTAATTGCATTATACTTGCGTATTTCCTTACTGTGTTATATACAGCCCACAATGGGATGGTTGGGAGTGTTTAATCGTATTAACATTGCAGATGAAAATGGTGACCGGAAAAAGCGTACACGGAAAATTTCACCCTTGACGAATGGTGCATATGGTGAACACGGAAATGCACCAGTTCGGTCGCTTTGCACATAAACGACTGCCCTACATGCCCAATCCCCCATGACTCATTCAGAATACTCAACAGACATATCACTGCTCGCCTACTGGAATTTAGCGAAGCCTGGGCGATACGGTGGCTCCAACGCACTTGGTTTGATCAGACCTAGTTCGTGGCAAGCCTAGTCTTGACTTGATGAGGTTGGTGACTGTGTCAACAGATCGATAACCATTTTCTCACAGTAGTACTGCACATGGAAGGATGCCCACATAGTAAATTTTCCACCCAGAAGAACGTCTGGACGGAAAATTCGCAGCAGTCTGCAAATGTACTCGGTATGTTAGAGTAGGATACGTACAATGGTAATCCAATTCACTTCCTCCGTTGCACACTTAGACGATCGATAACAAATGTGGACTGTCAGTTCATGTCATTTTAGTAAACCGAAAATTACGCTCACGGTTGAATCCTTCGCACATCTGTGACACGCGCTGCTATTCCCGCTTCCCCAACCAGCACATTTCACCGGTGTCGCTATATTAGGGACACTTGTATGCGCACAATAAAAACGTCAGTTTTCATGATTACGTTCCTCTGGACTGATATTCGGGCCTGCCAACATAAAATGCTCACGAACTCGGTGTGGTCACACCAAGTGCGTTCGAGCCACCGTATCGCCGAGGCTTCGGCAAATTGCAGTAGTTTTTTTTTGCAACAGTCTATGAATAGACATTTGCACCATCGGAAACCATGGAACTCAAAACAAGGTACAGAAATAGTAAAAGAAAACACAACACAACCCAACAATGTCCATGGTTTCCTCAGAGGGCGAGATACTACCCGGTTGCCCAAGCCGAAGTAGGGTGTTGACTTAGGGGATACCACCCCGAGCCTTTGGCTGAATAGCCTGCCCGCAAGGCAGCGGAGCGAATTCAGGGAATCGCGCCCATTGGGAGCCGGTGACTGATTGATCAGTTCATACGCCTTTCGTTTGTCCCGTTGCCAAACAGGGGCCCAACGCTCCCCGAAATTACAGCATCAACTTGCTGGAATACAATGCTTCGCCAGGATGAAGCAAGGGGCAGTGACTTTATTTAGTGGCGAGTCACGTCCGCCACGTCACAGTGTTGTTAAACGGACATATGTGGCTTTTTATAGGGAGAACGCTTGCCAGGCGAAAACCCACCACGTCCTGGAACACTGCCGCCGAACCATTTGCTGGAACGGGAAAATCCCGAACCACCCAGCTGGCACCACGAGGAGGTTGTTCGGCAAGCGAGCAATACTCTGTCTGTTGAGTCTTCTGAATGAGTCATGGGGGATTTGGCACATAGGGCAGTCGTTTATGTGCAAAGCGATCGAACTGGTGCATTTCCGTGTTCACCATATACTGTGTGCACCAGTTGCCGAGGGTGAAATGTTCCGTGTACGCTTTCATCATGGAGCCGATGAAAATAACTATTTTGTCAGCTGATTAGTGTGCTTTCATGAAGATGTTTGATGTTGTCCGTCATCACACTGCACTCTACTGCTACACTCGCAGTTGGGGAGGTAGCAGGGCTCCGACGACTAGAACCGGCGATCCACCATGTGAAAGCTTTATTCCATCACATCACCGAGCCACTTCATGCACCGGCCGGTGACCCATTGTGGGGTCATCTTGAAATACCACCCGCTATGCGACACCGTCTACTTTACGAGTGTGGACAATTATGAATCTGGTCGTTCGGCGCAGTGTTCGGAACTGATACTATTCAATGCACCTTAAGTACAGTCCAAACGATCGAACTTACCACGAATTACATCATCGTTACTCACAGTTCGGATTGGGATTGCAAGTCGCAATCCACTCGCACACAACAAGTACCTCAAATGACCCCACAACAATGTCCATCTGTCGAATGATAGCATATGTTCATGCGCATTGTCACGTTTGAGATTTGAACACTTATCTGCAAATGACCGTCATGCATTGCGATGTAAGGACTGCGGGTGACATCAATGTCTGTTGCTGCCGGTTGCTTTTAAAATGTTTCCATGATCTGCTTCCATCAGGTCTTTCAACGTTTCTTCCAGACTGATATCACTTCTCGCGGTACTCCATAGCACACATGGAAACCGCGAGAATGCGGAAAGTATAAAGCGCGTGGGTTTTCACCAAAATACCACACAATCAATCAGGCATAGAAGCATGCTTGCTCCGTTGGCGGTTTTGGCCTATATATACTTACTAATCAGTTCATTGGCTTGTAGCCCATGTATTTGCGGACCCATCGTAGCCGTTTTCAGCCTCAGTGATTCCAGTCAAAGCAATCTCGGTCGCGGTACCGGATGTTCTTTGTAAGGGTAACAGATCGAACGGGCGAATTGAACAAGCATGAGGGCAACAGCCTGAAAGCTAATCGATCGCCGCCAATACCACCTTTTGTTAGTTACACGGGCTAGATTGATAGTAAAAGTAAATAAATAAATAATTTAAACGGTTTTGAACGAAGCTGAAGCGCTAGCCAAGAAAACATTGGCAAAAGGAGAATGCACCACATCGTCCGTGATTGTACTTCGTGATGCCTCAACAGTTACGGTCCCAGCGATCGCGTTGATCATGGTTCACATTCAGATCACCCATTGCAACCATTCACGCAACGAGTACTTCAAAATGACCATCCAATTGTTTCTTGGGTGATAGAATTTTGATCGAGACCCAGACTTTGTTTTTGATTCCTGGAGGGCTATCATGACATTCGTAGCACACAATTCTTGTCTACTTATGGACAGGCACACCGTCATTGGATCCCAACTTACCTACTCACCGCTGCCATGTAGGTGGCTGCTACTGCGCCATCTGTTAGCGTTGGGTGCCACTGTAACTGTGAACAGTCATAAAGCACTAGTGCTCAATGTGAAGGGGTCGTGCCACGCCACGCCCACCCCTGTATCCATTTTACCTCACGGAAAGAATGAGACCAGGAGGCATATGAGTGAGGGAAACGTCTGCTTCGATTTTGTTCCCCCCTCCTCCTTCAATCAGATCATTACCAATAGATCGGCGAATTCGCTTGACACCAACGCGGAGTCGTGACAATTCTGAGAAATTGTGGACTCACCTTACACAATGCTAGCACCCATCCGTTTGGTGAGCATTTGCTGCATACAACGCTACTCAGTAGGCTGACGTGTAGCGCTGAGCGCTTTGTCATATGCTTTGCACCCTCAAACTGTGACGCACTATTACAGCACTGGGTCGACTCACAGTTAGTTCTCACAGTTACGGAACAACCACTCGAAATGGTCCATCGGTTAATTGGATCGCTCCCGGCGATCGAAACGATTACTGCACGCATCGCTAATGCTTTTGTGACTTCTCAACGCCTCAGTCACAGATAGTGACGATGGGATATGATGGTATTGGTTGAGGGTATGGCTTATAACACTGCGGCACTACCAGTGTTACTATATGGATCAGACACTTGGTCCATGCGCGCTGTGGTCGTTGGCCATCGATTTCTGTGAAGTATCGCGCCCATCTGGTGCCAGTACCAAGTGAACTATATTGAAGTTCGTCATCCAGTATTCATCTGCAGACCCCGTGCTTCCTAATTTGAGTGCCGGCTGGACTGGAACCGCCTACATTAACTCGGCAATAAGCTCCGTCGCCCGCATCCAGATGCCTCCGCGTATCGTCTCCCGGTAATACGCCCATTTGATGCAAATTCTGAAGCGGCCTGTTGATGCGAAAGCAAAAGGACATGAGGAGACTCGCCGAAATGCGGAATGGGATTGGTTCTTGTTTTTTCTCTGTAGGCGTCCTCATTTGCCATCGGGTCAGTGGTTGGACGCCTTATCGAGTATGGCGCTGTCACGGAGTTGGCGACGCTCATTCCATTTGCCGATTTTAATTCTTGTCCGTTCCCCCAAATTTACTATGATTATTCCGAGTTCACTTACCCAGCTCATTAATAATGAGAATGTATCAAGCAAACTCGATCCGCCGCACCTTGGTGCACGGACCGTCGTTAACGAATGGAACCGATTCACCACGAGCATTTTCCGCGTCTAGTAATCACGCCTTGATTGCGAATTTGTAGAAACATGCGCGCCCGACTTGCACCAAGCAACTCGTTCTATGTTGGCCACACTTTATTATGATTATGATTATAATTACAAAGACTGAACTCTATCGCCTTCCGCAGCAACGATCAGCATTCACGTGGAGCTTGTAGTATATATAGCTGCTTCGGACTATTAGGCATATTTTCACTAATTGTCTCAGGCGCGGCAAGGATACAGTTAAATCGCTCCACAACACATGTCATTCCTTCAAACAGCAACGAAGTAGATCTGCGAGGCACTACATATATCTCATCAGTTCTGAGTGCAACATGCACTGATTCTGCATTAATTTTTCATTCCGAAATCCGGTAAGATTGCGTCCTGCATCTGATCTTTTAGCATTCTTGTGCGTTTCCATTGAAACAGTATAAGATCGTCTCGTTACCATTCATTTTTAACGCCGAACCTCGTTTTGTGATCCTTCCTCGCTGCTTCGACGCTGCGTGCGCTCACTGACTTAGAGAGGACTGACACTGGCATTTAATCTATCAGTTCATCTGGTTTTTTCAGATGTTTCATGATTCAACTCATTTTTGTCATATCACCTGCTTACATTGGGTTTGCCCATAGCAACCTGCTAGAAATTTGATTGGTCAAAATGCATTATTCCAATTTTCATTGCCCCAGTATTGATGCGTTTTAGAAAAATCCTAAGTGCTTACCTTCCAATGACTGGTGTCAACTTCGGTTTGTGAGCAGGTTTACCAATTTTCAATGCGACTTCGAAACTCGAATGACATGCGACATTCATTTAACTAACATTTGTGCTTTTGACACTCGAAGAAGCCTGATTTCAGTCGAAATAGTTATATACATAAATAAAATTTTATTCTCGAATGTTTCGAGAATTTGGGAACAAACAATATTACTTCTTATTATATACCAGCTCTTATGCTGCTCTTTGTTAGGAGGACGCTCCCCATCTGATCGCCACAGGTTTCATTACAAAAATCGCATTGCTCACTAATTTCTCTCGTTGTATGATGTCAGTATTTGTGCACGTTGCACCTGCTTGAGTGACTGTGTTTTGCGCTTTTTTAAGGCCCTGCTTTTCTCATGACGTGAATGTACTGACAGACGAAAAGCAAATGTCTGAATTTTGTTTGTCCGTTGGAAATCGTTGACTCTATTGTGAAATCGTTTGACTTAACTTGGTGTCATACTAATCAGGAACAAAATCAGTGCTGCGATTTTGCTTGACAAATTGCTTCACATTGATGTTTATATATATATATATATATATATATATATATATATATATATATATATATATATATATAAGAACGTTTGAATAGTCTGGTGTAAATGCCGATATGCGTTCGAGTCATGAGACTAACTTACGTAATCGCGCACGATGATTTTCTTTTTTCCAACTTTAGGAGAGAAGGGTCGTTTCTACTTGAACTTGGACGATGAGGTGGTTCGCGGCAGTCTTGTGTTGCACGAGGCAAGTTGTTGAAATGTGAGGACACATGTTTACCTTACTCGATTCGTTGCTATCCTTTTTCTTGTTTCATTCTGCACTCCATTTAGGATGTTTACTTCTTGCTCACCATTTTCCCTTCACATGGTCTTAGACTCTATTTTTCTCCTACCTCTATGTAGTACAACGTCCGCAGCTGCGTGAAATCATAGGGGATTGCCAGTTGGTTTTCGGCCATTGGTAGAGTCTTCCAAAAGATTCCTTACTTTCTGAGTCACCTGCATGTGTTCTTTGTTTCCGACCGCACTAAGTCACACCGGATAAACCGCGGGTGCAAGTTTTAGAAAGCCGATCGGCGCACTACCACAACCGCTCTCTTTGAACATTGGTCCAAAGGCTACAAAACCAGATGCGGTTTCTCAGTGCATTTTTCAGAAAAAATTACGCTCAATGAGGGCAGCCTGTTTTACGCTAGCCGCTTGTCACAACAGCTCGGATGAATTCTCACATCCAAATGTCTCAAACACCATCATTCATGGTTACTGCACGATTATTGAACTAACAACGGCTGGTGTATCCTCTTTCTATTGGCTTCACGCTTGCAGAGATTCTGCTGCATTGATACCAACCACACTGAAATTGACCTCTTATCCATGCAAAGCCACCTGCTTGTTGTCCACTTGACATTCACCGAGATTAACTCGCGCATCAGCGCTAGAAGCCGTAGTACCATTGCTGCCACAAGCTTGGCACGCTACTGTTCCGTGCGATCGGCCCTAAATTAGTTCTAGTTTACGAGAAAATGAGTGCTCATGTGGGTTGCTGTTAAAAGCTTGGGGAGAAGGCACAACAGAGGAGACCTTGCAGATTTTTCTCTTTACTTACCATATGACCCCTAACAAACCTATTTCTTGAAACCAAACTGCAGCCGAATCGCTCATGAGGCGCAAGTTGCCAAATACATTTGATGTCCTCATTCTCAACAATAGCGTTATCCCCCCAGCAGAGCTTGCTTCTATTCCGATTTCATATTGGAGTGGCGGTGTACGCCCGCGAATATCGGCCTGGAAGTAGGGATGGCGTAATCGGAAAGAAAAGGGGAAGGTGATATACGACATTCAGGTCGCTGACGGTCCGCAATAGGAACCAGCTTTGAATGTGACACACAGGCCCAGGTATTCAACCAACTAAACAACGAATTATTCCTTCGGAAACGCTGGTAAATGCGTTCGAAATTTCTGGAAAAAAGAACTGCCGCCGAGCTCATTTGTGTGTGCATCGCTACGGCCCATACGATCCGACCGCGTTCGTCGACCACCGAATCTGTTGCGGCCGAACCGGCCAGCACGTAAGTACCAGTGAACTCAAAGAGAGAGAGAGAGGTGTTGGGAAAAGCGGGTTTTCCCAAGATCTTATTCTTACGGCTAAGAGCCGGATTGACTGACTAATATCGATTGGACAGTTCACTCGGTCTTTTTCGACCTATCGAAACGTTTGAACGGAACTCACACACTGTGACTTTATCCTGCCCGGCCTATACAGCCATCTCCGGTATCTCGTTTTGTTCGAGTCAATATACTTGTATGTAAAGCAACTCTTCTTGATTCTGGGGTCGACTCCCTACTTGTTGGTACTCTTCCTCACGGGTCATTACAGGCTCGCATCTAGACGACACAACTACTTAACAATTTGGTAGGTGCCATAAGTATAGTCATCTTGTTCCACGCAATTTTTGGTGGACGATTGTTTCAACTGCGCACCAAACGTCGACTGTTTTGAAGCGGCAATCCTCAGACGCCATAAGTGTTGCTTGGCCTCTTCACGTAGCTGGAGAGCCGTGGGTTCAGCTTGGTCTCTTCACCTCTAACTTCGAGTGGTCTGGTTTCGTTTTTTGCCTTTTATCCACTCTGGGGCGCATACGCCGACTGTAAGTGTGCCATACCCAGCCACCTAAATTTCTCAATTCTTGCCCAGAAACACATCAAATCCCTGTCGGCACTGCTGGAGATGCGATCAGATAGCATTACCACGGTCTGGTTACGACTCTCTTAGTCGAAACGAATCAACAACTTGCGGATTGCATAAGCACACCGAAATTACACCCAGATCCCCATTACTCCTTAGTAAACGCCGAAAAGTAGCCGACAGAATTTGATTCACACGACTTGTGAAACTTAGTCGCCAAACCTTTTCTACGTACGAGTTGGAACGGACGACTAGAGCGAACGTGGATTCCACAAATGTCTACATGACCCCGAGAATGCGAGAAGAATGACGCGTTCTCCGCAGCATGCGCTTTTACTGGCCCAGCAAAAGCCACTGGAGGGTCAACCAGCCGCATTTTTATACCAACATTGATGACGTATGGTGATTTTACACATAGGACTGTCTGCGTAAGCTTAGCCAGAAATGCGTGGCGTGAGCAAGTGGATTGGCACAACGTAGCGGGACATTTCGTAAAATTGAATGTCTGTAAGGCGGGAGCGAGGCGTTGGCAAGCGCTTTGGCCCAATGTAAGCGGAACATCTCCGGAAACATGCATATTTGTTATCTCAGGTGCTGGTGGAAAAAGTGAGTTTTTTGCCCAGGCTGATCGGAAAAGCGCGAATTTTTGTATGTGCGGAGACTGATCGAATTATGTGCACTGGCACCATTACGAGTATCTGAGCCTTACGTGCACGATCTTGTGGGGACATGCGTTCTTCATAACAAATAGGCAGTCAGGTGGGAGCTAAACTGAATTCTGTGGGTTGACAAGGATATCCAATGTATCCAGAAGGCTCAAGAGGCGAACGAGGCAGGATACCGAATAGTTACTTCGGGCTGTTCTTATCCACCTTGCCTCTCCAAATGAGTCATCCTTCAGCGGAACTGGTCAGGCTCCTATGTACTTGGGCGCACTCCAGTGCGCTAATCTGGAGTCGATCTTACCGCTTCGACATTGTCAACGTATAATGGTATCATCCGCGTTACGTTGCTTAATCATGTGTACTGCGTACTTCAAAATCTGCATCGGAATGAACGGAGTAGGTCTCAAAATCAGATCAAACAGCTAGTCGAACGCGATGCCAGCGAATTATTTGCTTCCCCTCGTTAGGTAGATTCATCGATCTACACCGCTCCATGAATCAACTGACAACGCTTGACTGCGCTTGCATCAAGGGCAGAAAAGTCGCTTGCTTTAATGGACGATAATGACCTTTATATAGATGCAGATGTGGGTACCATGTTCGCTGCGTCTACTGGTGGTTTCGCTGATCCACCTTAACTGAATCCATCATTTGTCTCCGAAATACCGACATATGTAACACGGTCCTCACGTTCCGAGCCGAAACCCAAAGAATTTCCGAAAACCTATCCAGATTATTTTATTTAGCTTAATCTGCCATAACACCACTCTATGCACTTGCTTATAATACAGCTGTCCATCGACTTTGACGTATCTTGTACCCACAAATCCCATTATAGGAGTAATTTTGTGAACCTATCAGTTTTAATTCTCTTCGTAATGACTTATTTGATGCCTATTTCGCAGTATGTCCGCTGTTGTGAGTCTTGCCACATAACTTTTCCGAGCCTATCTTAAGAAGATGCTGCTAAACGCTATGTGACGCTTCCCAGCCGCATCATGTTGATGCAATTTACATGGGACTTTCATGTGCCATGTTGTGAAAATTTCTGACGACTGTTGCTGCATACATCGTTGTCCAAAATATGCATGTATCATCCAATGTTGAGCTTACTGATTCCCACACGTGTGGAGAAACTCACACAACTCACGAATTGACTCACTTGTGTTTGTTTTAGTAAGCTCATATAAGTGTATTCAGGAAATGCGATGTGAACATTAACTTACTTGTTAAACGCGATATTAATTCCACTAAATAGTCTGGTGTCAAAAGTTAGCGCTCAAATGATTCTGTCCTGGTGTTTTCCTACATTGTCCCAAAACATTTCCCGAAAGTTCTGGCGTCTGAATGGATCATGTTAGATAGGAATTGTTCCACATGCTCTTAATTTATGGGACACAGCGGGTTCTCTTTTCTTGCGTCACAATTTTGCTCTTCATCTCTTGGCAGAATTATCCATCTCACTGAGCAATCAATTCCAGCTTGTATGGTAGTGCGCCTATTCGAGGATTCTTCTATTTGACATTTATTGGTACGGTGACCGTGGTACACCGGTATCTTTTACCGACGCTTGCTGCGGCGCAACTGCCACAATTCGCATGAGAGCTTGGATACCGCGATGCCACCCGGACCTACACGGCTTAGGACCGGTGATCCGTGATTAGCAAGCCAAACACCCGAGCCACCCTGCCACTGGTTTGATACGCTATCGGTCTGTCGCAAAGTAATGTACCAGCGGTGTGCCTAGAAGGTT